CCAACAGAAAGCTTCCATCTCTGGCCCTTTGTCCTTTGGTTGAAGCAATTACAATATTTGACTGGGACACCATTGACCAGACTGATTGACTGCACTGCTGAGGATCTGCAGCCAAGAATCTATAGACGCCTACGATACCAGAGGTGTATGGAGTATTCACCTCAACCAATATTACAGCTAACACGAGAGAGAGAAGAGAGAGAAACCAAAGAGAAACCACAGAGACCAGAGAGAGAGGGAGAGAGATGGAGAGAGAAAAAAAGAGAGAGAGAGAGAGACAAGAAAGAGACCGGAGAGAAACCAGAGAGAGACCAGAGCAAGAGAGAGAGAGGAAGAGAGAGGGTGAGAGGGGGAGAGAGAAGAAAAAACAGAGAGAGAGAGAGAGAAGAAAGAGACCAGAGAGAAACCAGAGAGACCAGAGCAAGAGAGAGAGAGGAAGAGAGAGGGAGAGAGGGAGAGAGGAAGGGATAAAAAAAAAAACAGAGAGAGAGAGCGAAGAAAGAGACCAGAGAGAGATATAGAGAGAAGAGAAAGCAACCAGAGAGACCAGAGAGAGAGAGATAGAAAGTGACCAGAGAGACCAGAGAGAGACCAGCTGTAATATTGGTTGATATTTGGTCTCTCTCTCTCTCTCTCTCTCTCTCTAGACTAGTGCAAGAGAGAGAGAGAGAGGGAGAGAAAAGAGAAAGCAACCAGAGAGACCAGAGAGAGAAAAAGTGACCAGAGAGAACAGAGAGAAAGAGAGAGTCACTATTTGTCTCTTTGGGCTGAGAGCTGATTGGCTGAGTGAGGGTGGTCCTCTCTTTGTCACTTTTCTGTCTGAAAAAGATGTAACAGAGGCCAAAAAATACATGGAAACTAGTGACAGAAGCAACTATCTCAGAGCCAGAAACTAGAGACATGGATTTTATAACCAATAATCTATAGACGCCCACGACACCAAAGCCGTACGGAGACATTAGCCTCAGTATTCACCTCGACCAATATTACAGCTAACAAAAACTCCCACTGAAAGCTGGTGGGAATCAAAAGCTCTATATGGCGAGAGAGGGGACAATCAAAGTTATCTATCGCCATCTCGCTCTGGTTCAGTCTATAAAAACCAAATACTCCGGCCTTATGCAGCGAGAGAGCCTTAGAATGAGTAGAATTTGAACTCCTTTGATACTGGAGCCTATACTCTCAAATTAAATCTCTCCCCATACCCACAATAGACATTACGCCACAATATGCGATTGTCCTGCAGCCGCCTCACTCAGGGAAGGCCTCGTCGCGGTCTTCTCGGGTTAAAAAGAAGAGAGAGGAAGAGTTTTTGAAAATGTGGTTTTAATGGAAAGGAGGTATTTGTCAGGTGTAATGGGGGTTTCTCTCTGCTCTCTCTGTAGCTGATATCTTTCTCTGTGATCTCTCCTGTCTCTCTGGTCTCTTTCTGGTCCCTCTTTTGTCTCTGGTCTCTCTCTCTCTAGTCTATCTCTCTCTGGTCTCTCTTTCTCTGGTCTATCTCTCTCTCTGGTCTATCTCTCTGGTCTCTCTCTCTGGTCTCTTTCTCTCTGGTCTCTCTATCAAGTCTCTCTCTCAAGTCTCTCTGTCCTCTCTCTCTGGTCTCCCTCTGGTCTCTTTCTCTAGTCTCTCTCTGGTCTCTCTCTCTCTCAAGTCTCTCTCTCTCTGGTCTCTCTCTCTCTGGTCTCTCTCTCTCAAGTCTCTCTCTCTCTCTGGTCTCTCTCTCTCTGGTCTCTCTCTCTGGTCTCTCTCTCTGCTCTCTCACTCTCTGGTCTCTCTCTCTCAAGTCTCTCTCTCTCTCTGGTCTCTCTTTCTCTAATCTCTCTATCTCTCTGCTTTCTCACTCTCTGGTCTCTCTCTCTCTCTCAAGTCTCTCTCTCTCTGGTATCTCTGTCTCTGCTCTCTCACTCTCTGGTCTCTCTCTCTCTCTGGTCTCTCTTTCTCTGATCTCTCTCTCTGCTCTCTCACTCTCTGGTCTCTCTCTCTCAAGTCTCTCTCTCTCTCTGGTCTCTCTCTCTCTGGTCTCTCTCTCTCTGGTCTCTCTCTCTGGTCTCTCTCTCTGCTTTCTCACTCTCTGGTCTCTCTCTCTCTCAAGTCTCTCTCTCTCTGGTCTCTCTGTCTCTGCTCTCTCACTCTCTGGTCTCTCTCTCTCTGGTCTCTCTTTCTCTGATCTCTCTCTCTGCTCTCTCACTCTCTGGTCTCTCTCTCTCAAGTCTCTCTCTCTCTCTCTGGTCTCTCTGTCTCTGCTCCCTCTCTCTGGTCTCTCTCTCTCTGGTCTCTCTGTCTCTGCTCTCTCTCTCTGGTCTCTCTCTCTCTGGTCTCTCTGTCTCTGGTCTCTCTGTCTCTGCTCTCTCTCTCTGGTCTCTCTCTCTCTGGTCTCTCTGTCTCTGCTCTCTCTCTCTGGTCTCTCCGCACCAACCTCACTCACAGAATGAGTAGATTTTAAACTCCTTTGATACTGGAGCCTATACTCTCAAATTAAATTCCTCCCCATACCCACAATAGACATTACGCCACAATATGCGATTGTCCTGCAGCCGCCTCACTCAGGGAAGGCCTCGTCGCGGTCTTCTCGGGGTAAAAAAAGAGAGAGGAAGAGTTATTGAAAATGTGGTTTTAATGGAAAGAAGGTCCCAGGTTTGCATTCTGATAAGGCCACAAAGGCTGCAGGTATTTGTCAGGTGTAATGGGGGGAAGCAGAGGCCACAAAAGATGAATATCGCTTTGTCATAAATATTCAAAGTGTATGCTAATGGTGGCATGAGATCAATGGCTTTCGGAGCTGGCGGTATTTAAAGCTGGGGTGCCTAACTTTCAGACGACAATGAAAGAGGATCATGGATTGGAGAAGGTTGAAATGGATAGAAATTCGGTTATAACCAACGTTTGGGCAAGTTACTATACACAAACTTTCTTCTTTTAAAACTATTTATTTTCCTTTAGGTTGCGTTCATCTCTGGTCTCTCTCTCTCTCTCTCTGGTCTCTCTCTCTCTCTCTTTGGTCTCTCTCTCTCTTTGTCTCTGGTCTCTTTATTACTTTCTGGTGTTTCAAACTCTGGTCTCTTTCTCTGGTCCCTCTTTGCTCTCTCTCTGCCCTATCTCTGGTCTCTTTCTGGTCACTCTCTCCCTGGTTTCTCTCTGGCCTCTTTCTCTGGTCTCTCTCTACTCTCTCTCACTGGTCTCTTTCTCTGGTCCCTCTTTGGTCTCTCTCTGCTCTCTCTCTACCCTATCTCTGGTCTCTTTCTGGTCTCTCTCTGGTCTCTCTCTGGTCTCTCTCTCACTAGTGTCTTTCTCTGGTCCCTCTCTGGTCTATCTCTGCCCTATCTCTGGTCTCTTTCTGGTCTCTCTCTCCCTGGTTCCTCTCTGGTCTCTCTCTCTGCATCACCCTCACTCAGCCAATCAGCTCTCAGCCCAAAGAGTCAAATAGTGACTCACAGGGAACTTTGTCTCGACACAGAGTCTTGTCAAAGTAAAATGTCGTGAACAGATCAGTCCACATTGTCCTGTCTTCATCTCAGAATCTCATGCATACCATAATAAAGTATATAATAGACAAGAGAGCCCTGTGAGTCCCTTTTTGAAGCTTTGGGCATTGATTTCCACCATATTTACCAACACTCTCCAATGACTGAGCAAAAGCACTCATCAGAATCTTTTTAATCTCGCACTTGTCACCTTCAACGCCACATGAAGCGAGCGAAACCCGATCTTTATCTCTGTGCCCTTTCCCACAAAACCCCATCTTTGGCACCAACCTCTCCATAAGTCATCCATTTTAATAGATTATGCAAATCGACACACACACACACACACACACACACACAAAATCAACAAGATCAATCGCCCCTGGTGTTCTAATTGCCGCACGGAAAGAAACCTTTTAGGGATGAGCCTCGTAATCTCCAAAACAATTAATTTGGAATTGGATCGCGGCCTAATACTGCGAAGATAATTTTTTTGGCTAGACTTTAAACTCTTCTCGTTGATTTATCGCGGCAAAGTAAACGGCTACAGTCGCACCTGATCGGCCAAAGGAAGCCAAGCGAAAGCCACAAACCAAATAGTAATTACCAGCAGAGAGGCGGCCATCTTGGATTTGATTTTTTTTTTTTCTTCCCCGTTGGTTGGATGGGACAGAGAGAGGTTGCTTTCATATGCCACTACACATAATTAAAAGCATGCTACAGCGGTAATCCTTAAAAATATTGGCAGGAAGTGGAGAGGAAAGTTGGAGGGACTTCATGCAAATCAGATGAGATGTGGGCGACTGATTGATTAAAAAACTAAGACCTGAGGCTGAGACCAGAGGAGAGAGAACACACAGAGAGAGAGAGAGAGAGAGAATGAGTGACCATGAAGATACAGAGACCAGAGAGAGACCAGTGACCCCACAGGTCCTGGTCCAGTCCTGAGTCTCGGTCTCAGTCTGGTGCCGCTGGCTCAGCAGAACACAGACAGCTGCAGTGTTTATCACATCATCATCACACACCGTTTTTCAGCCTCGTAAAAAGACGCTAACGCTAACGTGTTTCAGGATCCAGAAACACAGGTTATGGAGGAAATGGGAGAGAGAGAGAGAGAGAGAGAGACAGAGATAGAAAGGGAGACAGTGAGAGAGAGAGAGACAGAGATAGAAAGAGAGAGAGTGAGAGAGAGAGAGACAGAGATAGAAAGGGAGACAGTGAGAGAGAGAGAGACAGAGATAGAAAGAGACAGTGAGAGAGAGAGAGACAGAGATAGAAAGAGAGAGAGTGAGAGAGAGAGAGACAGAGATAGAAAGGGAGACAGTGAGAGAGAGAGAGACAGAGATAGAAAGAGACAGTGAGAGAGAGAGAGGATAGAGAGGCAGAAAGCATTTTTTACCCCTCATACTTCTTTTATATTTTCGACTCAAGACATTATTCCACATTCTACGTCTCATTATCATGTTTTAAGTCAATAAATTATGCAAAACATGTCTTCTTTCAAAACCAGCTCACAAGGTCCTGGTGGATCCTTACCGACTGGGAAGTTCTGAGGTCCGGATCCGGGGCCTAGGTCCGAGGTTCCAGAGGACAGACTGGGCTTCACCTCGTCCAGACTGGAGCTGAGGGTGGGGAGAGAGTACTCTGTGGCCTGCGGGAAGAGAGACGTCTCAATATAGTCTGTAATCTGTTTGATAATCACTAAACACATGGTATCTGCCCTCTTTCCGGGACCAGAAAGAAATATTACCCTCATAACTGTGGACTTATCTATCCTTTAAATACTGTGTTTTTTTAGTGGAAAGATTTTTAGTGCTTATATTTTGGATGTCTCTCTGGACTCTCTTGTTTCTCTCTCTCTGTGTCTCTTTTTCTTTCTCTCTGCCTCTGTCTCTCTCTGATCTCAGTCGCCTTTCTCTCTCAGTCTCTCTCTCACTTTCTGTCTCTCTCTGATATGTGTGTCTCTCTCTCTCAGTCTTAGTCTACGTATCTCTCTCTCTGTGTCTCTTTCTCTCTCTGATATCGGTCGCTCTCTCTCTCTTTCTGTCTATTGGTCTCTGTCTCTCTCTCTCTCAAGTCTTGGTCTCTCTATAATCTCTCTCGGTCTCTCTCTCTGTGTCATTCAATGTCTCTCTCTCTCTGTGTCTCTTTCTCTCTCTCTCTGTCTGCCTCTCTCTCTGATCTAGGTCGCTCTCTCTCTCTCAGTCTCTCTCTCTCTTTCTGTCTCTCTCTGATGTCTCTCGGTCTCTCTCTCTCAAGTCTTGGCCTCTCAGTCTCAATTTATGTCTCTCCCTCTCCCTCGGTCACGCTCTCTGTCTCTGTGTCTTTCTCTCAGTCTCGCTCTCTCTCTCTCTCTCTCTTTCTTTCTCTCTCTCTCTCTCTCTCTCTCGCTCTCTCTCTGTGTGTGTCTCTCTCTCTCTCTCTGTCCCATCTGCTTCTTCCCCTCTCTACATTGTGTGTGTCCAGACAGCGGGAAGCAGCCGGAGCGGAACATGACTGTTTGTGTCTCATTCAGGAGGAAGTGACTTTACAGACGAGTGGAGACCAGAGGGAGGACCAGGGGAGGACCAGGGACCAGGGGAGCGGGGTGTCAGCTGTGGGGGCATTGTGGCGGGGCACCCATGGGAAACAGAGGCTGGGAGGCCCTCTGTGTGAGGCCTGTACCAACAGAACTCACACAAAAACACATTCTCGGAGCTTTGGATTAAGGAAAAGTCTGTCTTTGAGAAACTGGGAACAACTGGTTTTGGTGGTTTAGTCCAGAGGTTTGTACTTTGATCTTCCTCTGCTCTCTCCGGTCTCTCTTTGGTCTCTCTCTGGTCTTTCTCTGTTCTCTGTGGTCTCTCTCTGGTCTTTCTCTGTTCTCTGTGGTCTCTCTCTCTCTGGTTTCTTTCTAGCCTCGCTCTGCCTTTTCTTATTTCTCTCTCCATGGTCTCTCTATGTTCTCTCTAGTCTGTTTTAGACCCAGGAAGTAGTCATGTAGATTTCATTACACACACATAGTCCTGTGTTTGTGGCCTAAAAATTATAATCGGTTCATTATTAGTTCTTGCCTTAAATACAATGTCCAGAAAAATAACAGCAGAAATGTCTTATCTTTTAGGGATACAGGCAAATTCTCAATGTTTACTGGTCGCATTGGGAAAACTTTACTTGAACCAAGACAAAAATTATTCTAATATTTGATGCGTTTTGGCTGAGTTTTGTCGCTTTCCATCAGCGATAAACTATTAATTGTCTCTGGTTGTGTTTAGGGGCCCGGGCCTGCGATGTGTGGCCCTGTCCCTGGTTCTTTATCATTCAGATGGAGGAGAGGGGAGAGGGGGGGGGGGGGGGGGGGGGGGGGCAGAAGTGTGGGAGGAGACGCTCTCAGGCTCAATGGGTTTTTAATGCAGTGGCAGAAGTGCAGCCACCTGCACACGTCGCACTCAGACACAAACTGCTCTGATTTATCTTCTGTTTAAAGAGACGTTACACAAAATCACCTTTTTAAGCTTTTCACGTCAGAGATCCTCAAACCGTTCATCACCATGAAATTAAAATCACTATTTATTCTGATTACAATATCCTTAGTCTCTCTCTCTGGTCTCTCTCTCTCTGGTTTCTATCTCTTTGGTCTTTCTCCCGTCCTTCTGTCTGATCTCTCTCTGGTCTTTGGTGAGACCAGATCAGACTAGAGAGAGAGAGACCAGAAAGACACTGCCTTTTTCCTCTGAACTAATCTCTGCGGTGCACACACGAGACCAAAAGTGGATTACTTAAAAAATTATAGTGGTTCTATAATGTTGTTGCAGTGTACATTCAGCGCAACTGAAGCAAAAAAGAAAAAAAAAACAAAGTTAAACGTTAAATAATAAGAAACTTAGAAGTATAAAAACTTACCACTATTAAGATCAAACTCTAAATACATTAAAAAGTACAAATATTAAGTTCTAATACAACAAACAATACATACACCCATAAGATAATAGCCCCATGATAAAAAGAATTATGAGTTAATATGAGCAGTTCAACCCAAACTCGTCTGTTCCTCTTTAGTTTCACACGTGACAGTTGTTACCACACTGATCAGAACTGTCCACAGGGAGCGGTCCTGGGTCCTTCAGAGTCCACAACAGACACAAGCAGCACAACAGAGAGGGGCTGAACCATGCCCAGACCAAGACTAGACCTGGAACCAGACTAGACCTGGGACCAAGACCAGACACGGACTAAGACTAGACATGGAACCAAGACCAGAAAATGTCTCTTTGGCTACAATCTGACGTGTAGACAAATATGTTCAACCATATGTCATTGTACTGTCCCAATTTAATAAATAGATAAATACAAATACAAAATACCCAGACTAAGACTAGACAGAGTTTTTCCTTCACCGTTGAAACCAGTCTCCATCAAACTCATCAAACTGTAGGTGTTTTAAATCACGTTAGACTTGTGCACTGTTACGTGTAGAATGACATTTGAACAAAAGGAAAAAGGTTGAATTCATCAAGTGATACAACAAAGTAAAAGAGTAAAAATATACAATTATTACACCAACGCGATACACGATACATACAACAAACCAGAACAAAGTACTATATGACACTAAAAATTAGGGCTGTCAAACAATTACATTTTTAAATCAAGTTAATTACAGCTTAAACATTAATTAATTGTATTAATCTTATTGCTAACTATCATATTTTTCTGTAAATGGATGTTTGAATGGAATAAATGACAAATGTACATATGTACTGTATTTGTTTATTATAACTATAAATCCACATAAAATAGCATTAACATTATTCACATTTTGTCTTTCTGTAGAAGACAGAAGTTTTCTACGTTGTATTAAAAGTTAATTAAAAGTTGAGCTCATTGGTTCAGCTGTGTGTGAATTCAGGCCATAAAAAGTGCTGAGTAGTAAATAAGTAATACATTTTTATTTATACATTGCCTTTCACAGACCAGAGTCACAAAGCGTGACGCTCGTTCTCCTATAGGCCACGCCTCCTCTTGCGTCTGCAGCGCCGGTAAAAACAGTAGCATGTTAGCAGAAAGTGCCTGTATACCTCCTCTGGCTGTAACTGCAGATACAGCAAAACAGCCCAAAAGACGCAAAAGTGAGGAAGAGAAGAGGGAACTAAAGCAAAAAAATGATCAAAGAAGAAATCAAGCCCGGGTGAACATAGCTAGCTTACATCGTATCCTCAGGACAGACTTGTCCATGGGAGAGACGTGTGGGAGCGGACCCCTCGGACTATCTATGCTCGGACCACATTAAGACGCAAAACTAGTGGTAATCTTTCAGTTATATATTTTGTACGCAGTGTGTGGCTTTTGTACCATTTCATCAGTGATGGTTGCACAGTTTACAAGAAGTTGTGCTAATGCTAACTAATGCCTTCTCTGTCGCCACCTCACACGCATGTGTCCGCGGCATTCTGAGTGTTATTATGGGATGCATGGGCGGGTCATTCCGTACATGCGTCAAATGCGTATTTTTTTCAACACAATTAATGGGAAATTTTAATTAACGTGTGTTAATGCGATCATTTTGACAGACCTACTAAAAATATCAAAAATATTCGAAACATACATTTAGAAAAATAAAAAGTCCTATTATAAAAGATAGGAAAATATTTCAAATACTACAAATGATACATTCACCAAAAGAATTATCCCCAAGAGACATTGAATGAAATCGTTGAACCTTCAGATGTTGCCTTTGGAAATGATCCAAAACATTAAAAGAAAATAATTAAGATTTGAAAGACTTGTGCTTGTTTGGTTCTTTACATAATACAATTTGATGAGAATGACTCTGCTTTGTTAAAAAAGACTTCAGGGAAAGGCCACGGCTCAAAACTGTTTTGGAACACTTGAATAAAGAATACAAGAACAAATAGTGCAACCAAAGCTCGTCTGTACAACTTTAGTTTTACATGTGACAGTTGTTACCACGCTGATCAGAAACTACAGATAAACTAAACATCACAGACTTTTACTGAAGCGCAAACATGATCCCAAACTGTGGAGGACAAAGCTCTTATTTCAGTTCAGAGAAAAGTGCAGTGGATCCAGGACTAAGCCAGACTCCAGCGTGAAGCGGCCGAGTGAAAGTAGTCTCTTCTCTGTGGATCAGCTTCATGTTTTCAGAGACGTCGTAAAAGGACAAAACCCCTGCACTGTGGTAAACCCTGACTCTGGACCCGACTGGACCTGAGACCTGGGACCGGACTGAGTTAAACATGAATGAAGGGCTGGTTTTGTGACAGACTAAGGCCCAGGATTTATCATTGAATCCAAATCCACATTCACCAGAGCGTCCTTTCCTCTGAATATCTCTGTATGAAACTGCAATACGAGCACCATGCACCACTTCACCTCCCAGTAACAGCGACACGTCACACTCTCTCTGCTCAGGACCTGAAAACACAGACTGAATCTGCCCTTATGATCTGGATACTTCTGACCGTTATACACCCATGTCACACTTTTGTTTCCATCAGACAGAAACAGCCACTTTTCACTGTGTTTGACTCCAGAGCGAGGTCTGTAGAATATTGTAAAAAATCGTCTCTGGTCTTGGATTCTGTGGTTAAAAGCTGAACTCGATAATTTTCTTCGTCCATTCTCCAGTCTTTCCCTGAGCTCCAACACAATCGTGGTCACCTTCTCCAAGGGGCTCCTGACTGGGACTATTCCTGTGTGTGGCCCCCTGACTCCTGCTTCCGTCGGCTCAGTCCTCTCTCCTCCTCAGACTCTCTCTGGTCTCTCACTGGTCTCTCTCTGGTCTCTCTCTGGTCTCTCTCTGGTCTCTCTCTGGTCACCTGAGGAATGCCTTCGCCTAGACCAAGACTAGACCTGGAACCATACCCGGTTAGTCTAGACCTGGAACCAGACCCGGGACTAAGAGACTCGAAATAGCACCAGACCTGGACCCAAATGAAACTCGAAACAAGACCAGGCCAAGACAAGAGCCGGGGCAAGGCTGTAGATCCAGGACTGAGGCTGTAGATCCAGGACTGAGGCTGTAGATCCAGGACTGAGGCTGTAGATCCAGGACTGAGGCGGTTCCCAGGTTGTCACAATTCTCTCTCTGCTCCATTTTCCTCATAAAGACAAATGTTCTCTCCCTCGCCGGTGTGGATCCCTCCCCCAGACGGACAAGACCTACAGTAAACGCACAGAATCTTCTATATTGATCAATTCCACGCGGCTCGACTGTTACTCTCAATTAAAGGAGATGCGGAGAATGTGTTTTTCATCACAAAATCGATGCAACGCTGGGCTTTTCTGCCTTTACACTCGCCGCACTGTGAGGCGCACAGGGACCACGCTTCAGTCGCTTTTTTCAGGTATTTTCTAATGAATTTAAAAATATACAGAGGAGATAAAGGAGATACTGGGAGTACGATTTCAGATCTATCTCTCTCTCTGGTCCCTATCTCTGTCTCTCCTTTCTCTCTATGATCTTTCTCTCTGGTCTCTCTTTAATCCCTCTTTATTCTCTCTCTGCTCTCTCTCTAGAATGTGCCACATACAGAAAATACATTTTCTCACATTCCCACAGAGATGGACTGACCTGCTCTGGCTTGACGTGGTCTGAGGAGGAGAAGTCCGGATACTGAGGTCTCTCAAAGACTCGGTCCAGAGCTTCCAGCTGCTGCTGCGTGAAGGCGTCGGCTCTCAGGTGTTTCCGCAGGGTCTCCACGCCTCCTGGAGAGTGGCTGTGAGCTCCAGGGCCCTCCGAGTCTGTGGAAGAGAGGAGGCCGGTTGTTTGTACGGCACACGTCAGGCAGAGGGCGCTTCACGAGGATAGAGAGAGAGAAGCCGATCCCAAAAGGACGAAAGAGACCAGAGATTGAGCAGAGACCAGAGACCAAATAGAGACAAACGAGAGACCAGAGAGCATAGAAAGAGCAGATTAAGACCAGAGAGATTGAGCAGAGAGAGAGACTAGAGAGAGAGACTAGAGAGAGACCAGAGAGAGAGACCTGAGAGAGAGAGAGACCAGAGAGAGAGACTAGAGAGAGAGACTAGAGAGAGACCAAAGAGAGACAGACCAGAGAGAGAGACCAGAGAGAGAGACTAGAGAGAGAGACTAGAGAGAGAGACCAGAGAGAGAGACTAGAGAGAGAGACCAGAGAGAGACCAAAGAGAGACAGACCAGAGAGAGAGACTAGAGATAGAGACTAGAGAGAGAGAGACCAGAGAGAGAGACTAGAGAGAGAGACCAGAGAGAGAGACCAGAGAGAGAGACTAGAGAGAGAGACCAGAGAGAGAGACTAGAGAGAGAGACCAGAGAGAGACTAGAGAGAGAGACCAGAGAGAGACCAAAGAGAGACCAAAGAGAGAGACCAGAGAGAGAGACTAGAGAGAGAGACCAGAGAGAGAGACTAGAGAGAGAGACTAGAGAGAGAGACTAGAGAGAGAGACCAGAGAGAGAGACTAGAGAGAGAGACTAGAAAGAGAGACCAGAGAGAGAGACTAGAGAGCGAGACCAGAGAGAGACCAAAGAGAGACCAAAGAGAGAGACCAGAGAGAGAGAGACTAGAGAGACAGACCAGAGAGAGAGACCAGAGAGAGAGACCAGAGAGAGACCAAAGAGAGAGACCAGAGAGAGAGACCAGAGAGAGAGACCAGAGAGAGACACTAGAGAGAGAGACTAGAGAGAGAGTCAAGTGGATTTAAGTATTTCCAGATCACAGATGCAGGATATAAAACCTTCTCTCAGAGCAGTGCACTTTGTATGCAGCCCTCGTGTTCTGATGGTCTCGTCTTCGTGGGGGTCTGGGCTCCATCTCACCTAATGTCCTCTGGCAAAACATCAGCCCCTATCACCGTCCCTCCCCCCTCCCTCACCCTCACCCCCATCCTCACCCAACACCCGCGTCGACAGATCCAGCTCCTTCACACCGAGCTTTAATGGAAGGAACATGCAAAACTGACTTTTCTTATGTCGCTGTGTTTGTTCCAGGATTATAAATGTGCTCTCTGCTTCTATAGTCTCTCTCTCTGGTCTCTAACTGGTAACTGGTGCCTCACTGGTCTTTTACTGTTCTCTCTCTGGTCTCTGTCTCTGGTGTCCCTCTGGTCTCTCTCTGGTCTCTCTCTGGTCTCTCTCTGGTCTCTCTCTGGTCTCTCTCTGGTCTCTCTCTGGTCTCTAACTGGTGCCTCACTGGTTTCTCTTGTCTGTCTCTGTTCCTTCTCTGGTCTATCACTGGTGTCACACTGATCTCTCTACGGTCTCTCTCTAGTCTCTCAATGTTCTCTCACTCTGGTCTCAGCCTCTGGTCTCCCTCTCTGGTCTTTCTCTCTGGTCTCACTCTGGTCTCTCTCTGGTCTATCTCTGGTCTCACTCTGGTCTCACTCTGGTCTCATGGTCTCACTCTGGTCTCTCTTTGGTCTCTGTCTGGTCTCTTCTAAAACCTCATATTGGCTGAATCAAATATAAAAGCACAAACACATGAGGCTTTTCCTCACAGACACAAAGAATGTTTTCTCCAAATCCTGCTGCGATAAAAACACAGGCACAAAACCCAGATCTCTTCCTGGAGAGCGAGACTGTAGCGAGAAAGAGGGAGAGAGAGAGAATCGGTCTCGTCTCTGTCCTGACCTCCTGCTCCTCTCTCTCTCTTTACATACTGCACCAACAAATGGGATTCTTACTATTTACAGGGAACATTTACTGCTGGGTATTCAACCAGTGAGGAGGAAGAGGAGGAAGAGGAGGAAGAGGAGAGACCAGAGAGAGACTAGAGAATGACCAGAGAAAGACCCGAGAGAGACCAAAGAGAGACTAGAGAGAGACTAGAAAAAGACCAGAGAAAGACCAGAGAGAGACCAGAGAGACACCAGAGAGAGACCAGAGAGAGACAAGAGAGACTTGAAAAAGACCAGCGAGAGACCAGAGAGACTAAAACAAATACATTTAAAATATCCGTGCAGGCCTTTCCTTGCGCTCTTAAATGCATCTTCTGGACTTGTCCCACTAGGATTCGGGTTTCGTTTTTACATGTAAGCTACTAATACTAGTAGCTTGCATGTAGTCCTCCTATTGATACCACTACTACTACTACTACTGATACTGCGTCTACTGCTGCTGCTACCACTGCAACTATCCATCCATCCATCCATTTTCTTCCGCTTTATCCGTTGCCGGGTCGCGGGGGCAGCAGTCTAAGCAGAGACGCCCAGACTTCCCTATCCACACACACTTCCTCCAGCTCATCCGGGGGGACCCCAAGGCGTTCCCAGGCCAGCTGAGAGACATAGTCCCTCCAGCGTGTCCTAGGTCTTCCGCGGGGCCTCCTCCCGGTGGGACGTGCCCGGAACACCTCCCCAGGGAGGCGTCCAGGAGGCATCCGGAACAGATGCCCGAGCCACCTCAACTGGTTCCTCTCGACGTGGAGAAGCAGCGGCTCTACTCCGAGCTCCTCCCGTGTGACTGAGCTCCTCACCCTATCTCTAAGGGAGCGCCCAGCCACTCTGCGGAGGAAGCTCATTTCGACCGCTTGTATCCGCGATCTCGTTCTTTCGGTCATTACCCAAAGCTCATGACCATAGGTGAGGGAGGGAACGAAGATTGACCGGTAAATCGAGAGCTTTGCCTTTCGGCTCAGCTCCCTCTTCACCACAACGGTCCGATACAGCGACCGCATCACTGCGCACGCTGCACCGATCCGCCTGTCAATCTCACGCTCCATTCTTCCCTCACTCGTGAAGGGAAGAATGGAGCGTGAGATTGCAACTACTACCCCAATTTTCCTACTACAGCCCAAAAATTCCTTCTTATTTTTCCATATTTCCAATATTCCAATATTGTCACTTTCTAATGTTAACTTTATTCAAACTAAATCTTGCAGTATTCTCAGTACTAGTCTTCTTAAACTGCCCACGGACATCTCTCAGCTCGGCCCCAAACCCAGTGCTCTCTGGTCCCATAGGAGGCAGATAACTCACACAGGCCTGGTATTGATCGTTGACGCGGGCCAAAACGACACGGAATGAACATTATGCTTGGACTCATTCCGTCTATAACACTCTACTTAATCCTGCATTTCTCTCACCGCCAAATTCAATTGATCAATCACTCCTTGTATGGTGTTTGACCTGCTTTCAGAGGGGAGGGAGAGGGGGAGAGAGAAGTATACAGGGAAAGGAGGGAGGAGAGAGAGGAGAGAGGGGAGAAAGGAGGGAAAGGAGGGAGGAGAGAGAGGAGAGAGGGGAGAAAGGAGGGAAAGGAGGAGGAGAGAGAGCAGAGAGGGGAGAGGGGAGAGAGCAGAGAGGGGAGAGGAGAGAGTGTGTGGAGAGGGGAGAGAGCAGAGGGGAGAGAAGAGAGAGAGGAGAGAAGAGGGGGGAGAGAGACAGGAGAGAGGAGAGAAGAGAGGAGAGAGACAGGAGAGGGGAGAGAGGATAGAAGAGGGGAGAGAGAGGAGAGGGAGAGGACAGTAGCAAAAGGAGAGAAGAGAGGGGAGAGGAGAGAGAAGATGGAAAGGAGAGAGGAGAGGAGGGAGGTAGTAAAAGTGACAGTGAGGTTGTCCTTAGAAAACGCTGATCTCGGCACAAAAACAGCCGAGGTGAAATGACGTGTAATATATATGTTTGATTTGTTTAGTTCTGTGTGTGAGACTCTACGGCCTGAGTCCTCCCTCTCGTTCTACTGCAACTGTGTCCAGGACTGAGGCTGTAGACCCAGGACTGAGGCTGTAGACTCAGGACTGAGGCTGTAAACCCAGGACTGAGGCTGTAGACCCGGGACTGAGGCTGTAGACCCAAGACTGAGGCTGTAGACCCAGGACTGAGGCTGTAGATCCAGGACTGAGGCTGTAGACCCAGGACTGAGGCTGTAGACCCAGGACTGAGGCTGTAGACCCAGGACTGAGGCTGTAGATCCAGGACTGAGGCTGTAGATCCAGAACTGAGGCTGTAGATCCAGGACTGAGGCTGTAGACCCAGGACTGAGACTAGATCCAAGGACTCAGAGACCACTCCGACCACTGCGTCTGTGTACTTGCAAACAGTGGCCTCGCAGTAATTAAAGCTGGGGTCTGTAATTTTCAAGCCACAAACAGAGTAATAGAGCGCTGTGGTTCCTGGCTCTAAAAGAATTGCTTCTATCACTAATTTTCATGTATTTCTGTCTCATCTCAGCAAGTTGTTGTGAGAGTCTTTCTGTTATTATCTATGAGTTATCTTTGAGAAAAAAGTTCCAGTTTTGAAAACCAGGACTGACATTGCTGTATGTGGTTTGAAAGTTACGTACCCTAGCTTTAAGTGTGCATTCGTACATTAACAACACTAAAAGTACTGTTTCCTGTAGAGTCCTCTCTGAGTCCGGCCAGTCTCATGGATGACTCCAGCCCTACGTCATGTCTCTATGAGTTCATCTGACTCAAAGTCTCTGAGGGACTGTCACCCCAGGACCCCCCCCCCCACCCCTCAGTCTCCCCTGGGACGTCCCATCTGCTCCCCACTGTCACCCACAATACAGGCAACGGATACACACATAAGATTCAATGTAGTGTATTTGTGTACGGAACCAGGTCAGAGAGAGGTCTGAGAGAGACCAGAGAGAGACCAGAGAGAGACCAGAGAGAGACCAGAGAGAGACCAGAGAGAGAGCAGAGAGAGGTCTGAGAGAGACCAGAGAGAGACCAGAGAGAGACCAGAGAGAGACTAGAGAGAGGCCAAAGCTAGACCAGAGAGAGACCAGAAAGAGACTAGAGAGAGGCCAAAGCTAGACCAGAGAG